TATTTATAATCATTCACAAAGGGATGGGGTCGACCACATCAAACTGGTAAATCATAAAACGTATTTTGTATTGACAACGCCTAGCATAAACAGGTGCAACGAAGTGTTGAACAGTTATGTGCAAAACTGGAACGGGAGAAATAGTTACTATATACCTATATCAGGTACAGGGGAATATAACAGCTGCGATACTCGAAATGAAGGAATGTCATTTAACGCTATGGCATAATAATAGCTGGCACAGAGGAATCAATTTATAGCTTAAGTATAGCCATGGAGAGAAAAAAGAATCAAGTATTACCGCCATGATATAACCATAGCGGGGTCAAAGGACTCATTTATAACAACTACGATATAATCATGTCTAGGATGAAGGAATGTCATGGTACAGCGCATTGATATCTAGCACAGAGACATAATACAGCTACAATAAAGTCATGGCGAGGAAAAGGAATCAAATATACCATCTGCGATATAACCATGGCGTTGATAATAAAATCAAATATATCATCTGCGATATAACAATAGCGTGGTCAACGAAATCATATATAACCATGGCGTTGGTAATAAAATTAAATATACCATCTGCAATATAACCATGGCGTTTGTAATAAAATCAAATATATCATCTGCGATATAACAATAGCGTGGTCAACGAAATCATATATAACCATGGCGTTGGTAATAAAATTAAATATACCATCTGCGATATAACCATGGCGTTTGTAATAAAATCAAATATATCATTTGCGATATAACAAAAGCGTGGTCAATGAAATCATATATAACCATGGCGTTGGTAATAAAATCAAATATATCATCTGCGATATGACAATAGCGTGGTCAACGAAATCATATATAACCATTTCGAGGATGAAGGAATGTCATTTAACGCTACGGCATAACAATAGCTAGCACGGAGTAATTAATATTATAACTACAGTATAGCCACGGAGAGGAAAATAGAATAAAATATTACCGCCATAAAATAATCATAGTGTGGTCAATAGAACCATATATCATAGTTACAGTATAACCATGGAAGGGCTGGCGGCGGGATCAATCAAATCAATTCAACGATCTTACTGTAATATATAAAGCAGATATACTGGGCTTAATATACACTAAAGTCCATACATTCAGGGATGGAATGCTAGCATTCATAGTGAATGATGTGCATAAAACAAAAATATCAACCACAAAAATATATACCAACGAAAGTATACCGTGTATGTTGTGTAAATGCATTCCTTTATCCTAGTCAAACATAGGTTTACTATAGACAAATATGTCTACACCGGCATTAGGTAATTACAATCAAACAGTTGGCAAAAGTATCTTCAAAAACCATTCTACGGACAGAATATTTGTAGAAGTATTGGTAGAGCACGTAAATATACACATATTTAAAAAAAAAAAGATCGGGGGAAAAAATCCTAAATAAAAAACGTAAATGTTGATTTATTAACATAATTTTTTCTACAATTTAATAGTTGGTTTACGCATTTCCTCAATATATCCCATAAATGAAAACAAATTTACTACATACAAGTAGTTTGTACACGTATTTCCTCCAAAGATCACATAAACATCAACATAATTTAAAACAGTAAGTAACACCTTGACAGATCACATGAATATTAAATAATACAAGAGATAAATAAATTTGTAAAAGTATTTCTTCGATAGATCTCTTAAATATTAAAAACTAATTAAAACAAACAGTACGTAAAAGTATGTCCTCAAAAGATCACAGATATTAAATACAAGTTTCCTACAAACAAACAGTTTATAATGTACAACATGGACAGTTGATTTTCTTGACAGATCACAGATATTTAAACTTAAGTTTACTACAAACTTCTTGAAAATGTGCTTCCTCATAGACCATACAAAACAAAAGCAAAAAATCATTTGTAAAAGTTTTCTTAGCCGATAAACAATAACTATAGAAAAAAGGAATAATATAAAAATTGTATAACATATAACATTAACACAAAATGATTTAACCCCTTCACCCCTATGTAACTTAAATTAACTCTAGCAGTGTATTGATCTGGATTAGTCCATTATGTCTACAGTGGTGAAAGGGTTAAAGAGTATTTAAAGTGCATAACCAGCAGCGTTTCAGCATTGCATAACAAAGGATTGTAAAACCGTGTAAAAGATTATCAACAGATAAACAGAAATAATAGACATATGTAAAAATCATGTAAACAGCGTAAACTACATAAAGTAAGACACATCCATATCAATTCACGAGACAGCACAAAGGAATGCAATATCAATACTGGCGAATACAAGATTCGTCATATTTTCATATTAAGTAGATTTTCGACAAAGTATTTTGAATTTTTCTTATGAATTCATGTTATGTTATTCCTGTACGACATGTAGGTCCAAGACAAATTTCGTACAAAATATGTAAACAGATGTTGGGCTTGGTGTCAACAAACAACTATTAACTCTTTCACCACTGTAGACCATACTAGACTCATCCAGATCAATAGACGGCTGAGTCTTCTAAAGTTAACTAGGGGTGAAAGGGTTAACAACTTAACGTTACAGCAGTCTTCCATTCATTATTTTGATTTATTACCATGGTGAGTGACATAATGGGTTCAGAAACAGAAAACATTATAAAATAAATGTTTTAATTCAGTAAACCTTCGATAAATATTTCAAAACTCCTTAACAAACAACCGGATTGCTCAGCTGTTCTGTAACAGTATTTGTAAACAACTTTTCAAATATCTAACTTAAAAAAATAATAGAGTACTTAAAAAAGCAACATGGCATCACTTCAATAAAGGAACACGACTTCGACTTAGAATAAGCTCTACTTAGAATCTCCAAGAAGTGGTCAAATAGATTCGTTTTTTTCTGATTTTTAAGTTGAATGCCAATTTACTTATGCAAAATGGTGAATACAAAAGAAATATATCTACTAAAATGTCCTATTTCACAAAAAGACACAACAGAAATGTGATCCCTGGAACTCTTCATTATAAACTTCAAAGTGTTTTGCCTCCCTCGAGGAGCTAGACACACATCTGTCTTCGTACTAATCAAATAACATAAATCTAACATTAAACAACTTCTCGGTACCTGTATACTGTCGACTAATGGCGGGACTCTTTACTTGAACACTGGTATTGTATGTGGAACTGACATTGGTAGTGATATAAAACACGACCTCTACTGGTCACTGTACACACGTATTGTAATAACGAAAATGACGTCACCAGACACGTCAGCGTTTTGAGCATGGACGCATAATAGAGTAACATATATGTACTGTAATAACGAACATGACGTCACCAGACACGTCAACGTTTTATTACTGATTAAACGTACTTATAACATAGCCTGCACACACGAACTATGACAAAGGGAAGTATCGGGAGCGTTCACCTTTACTGACTTTTAAGTCTTCGTGTGTAATACTTAATGTTGACATAACGTGGACGTATTACACAGAAAAAACAATGTTATCGAAAGTTTCGAAATATGATCGACTTAAAAATCACACAGGCATGATACATTAGCCCTCTAACACAACATGTCATATTTTATCGCCCGTCAAACCTAACAGGCCATATAAGGCATCACACTAAGCAGTCCACATCAGCAGCCAAGCCTAGCAGCTCTTATGAGACATTCAACATTTGTAGGTTTCATCATACTCCGATCGGACGTGAAAAGGTATTCGGTAACCTGCCCGACCACTTGGGTTTAATTCGGGTACTCCGGTTCCCTCCCCACATAAAGACACCCCGCAAGCTAACATCCAGTTCAACAAAAGTGATTAATATAAGTTGCAATAGCTTGTTTCGCAATTGTTGTAAAACAAATAACGTTTGTATTATTATGTTTCATCAGCAGTCCATACTAGTTTATCACATCAGCCGTACAAACCTTTTCCCACACACAAACCGTCTAACGAATATAACAGAGCATTTCAGCTAAAATGTCAGTTCGCTACCCATAGCATCATGAAGAGTAAAATATCCGGCATAAACCTAAATAAATATATCATGTTAGTGGTCTTAGAATATACGCTACGGAAAGTTATAGTACCTTAAAGTATATATCTCCGGTTTTTGTTTATGTATAAAAACGATGTGTATTTCTAATGAATGAATGTAGATTCTGTATAATAATTTGTATATAAATTATATATATATCTCATGAACGTTTTCTTTCTGTACATAAATGCAATATATATAACGATCAAACTGTCTGTATATACAAATAAAGTATGAACGCCAAAAATGTCAACTGTATTTTCAACTAATATGACTCACTCTTTGTAAAATATATTATCTTAACTATTTTTGTCTGTACTAAACTTAACTATTTGTATCTGTACTAAAACGTTTCCCTCGATTAAAGTAATGTATAAACCGACATTAATTTTTAAATAGGTTTCATAGAAAAGGAATACGTATGTATAAAACGGAGAAATATACATCCCTGCGTGTACACAACACCGGAAGTCAATACTATAACATAATAGACAGGTCATTTGTCACTAATAATGTTCTCAAAATATGGCCGTGTAATCCTTGTGATATGACAGGTCAATTATTTAAATACGGGTATATATTTATACACACAATGACGACATCCAAACAATCGTAGTATTGATATTATCCTACCTTATAAGTAAACATACATACACTCATGCCATATAACCCAATCCCTATACAACTAACATTACAGTAGTAATATATACCTGACATTGTGTCTATTTCTGTGGGTTTCTCTCTTTTACCAGGATGTAATAAATATACATGTATACATTTTTGTTTCTTAACTATAAAATTACACGAATAAATTATTATTAGTTTTCTATGTTATGGATATGATGTATGTTACAGAGGTGTTTCATTGTCATGGTTTGAATATAGACTATACACTGATATCAACATTGATAAATCACCATATAAACTATACACTAATATCAACATTTATAAATCACTCTTTAACCCTTTCACCCTTATGTAACTTAATTAACTCTTCCATGCATTGCTCTGGATGAGTCCATTATGGTCTGCAGTGGATAAATCACTCTTTAATCAGCCACCGGTAAATGATATGTCCCTGTCCTGGAGATTTTCAAACATTTGTCACGTGTCCTGGATCACAAGATATCCCGCTTGTGTCACGTCACGTGTCATTTATCTCTGTGTCACGTTATATTGTTCCCATATTATCCTGGTCACGTGTTCTATAACTTGTCTAGAGCTTCTGTAAATGTTAATATCTCCACAAGGTTCATATTTAACTTCTTCTCCAGCGACGCATAATAGAATTCGGGCGCCTGCAATATGGAAAACATAGGTGATGGTACTTACTTATAGATATTTACAGAGGTGTAACACTTATTAGTTTTAAGGGTAAATTATTAACTTTATAAAATATATTCAAAATCGCAGTAAGTAAATAACATTATAACAGATACTCAATTTGGTTTTAAACCTAGTTTTTCGATGAAAGATGTTACTTTTTGTGTTGCAACAGCAGAAAGGATTATATTGCTGTTTCACATTTAAGATTTTTGTTTATTTAACTGATTAAAGTTGTTATAGTCTAACTGATCAAACAGGTAATTGATGCGAAATTTTGGAAATTATACAATCCTTACATGCAAATGTTAAATCTTGTATCAAATATGATGATTTTTGGCAGTACTACAAAAAACCCGAACGGATTATTTCAAGGTCAAACCCTGCCACCGACAGGTTTTGTTTGTATTGTAATGACAAATTAGTTCCTGACTGTGGATTCTACGGGCACTCACAAAAAATAAACATTTAAACCATACACGGGAAACAAGGATGAAAGAGCATATTAAATCGATTGTATTGCCAATGATTACATGACCATCGCGAAATAAACAAAACGTTTGAAATATTGTAAAATATTACGACGGAAGAACAATATTTCTTTACACTGGAGAGACAAACAATCGTCATCAAAATTCAATATCACTCTGAAGCTTTATAGCACAGCCAAACCAATTTCATTAAATTTAACTATCGGCCCAAATCTAGGAGTACTGGCAAATCATCCGAGTATGAACAGTCGTCAGAGTGATCCACTAAATGTTGCAAACGTTAGCGAGACTGTTTACTATGTAAGCTTTAGGCTGTGTTAAAACGGAACAAAAATGATATAAAACGCTATTGTATTTAAAAAAATAAACATATTAAAATATTAAAGCTAAAATATTCATTAAACCAGAAAAACGTAGATGTAAAAGAAATTTCATTACACCTTTACCCGAATATGTCTTAATACAAATTTAAATATTTAATGTTTACCTCAACTTTCATCCTCTGTAGCTGTACCAGTAACTTCCCGTCAAACTGAGCCAGCGACGGAACACATCTGAAAATACAGTTCGTGAATAATTATTCGTCACACTGGTTGATAATTAGAACAATCATAAAATGTTTCCGTCTCTCATTTGATTCTGGTCAAACAATATGTAATGCATTATCGAATTATCACGAATAAACAACTAAACACTGTATGGTGCCAGGCTACCGTATCCAGCTACGTTAGAACAGTGTATGGTGTCAGGCTACCGTATCAAGCTACGTTAGAACAGTGTATGGTGTCAGAATAACGTATCCAGCTACGTTAGAACAGTGGATGGTGTCAGGCGACCGGATCCAGCTACGTTAGAACAGTGTTTGGTGTCAGACTAACGTATCCAGCTGCGTTAGAACAGTGTATGGTGTCAGTCTACCGTATCAAGCTACGTTAGAACAGTGTATGGAGTCAGGCTACCGAATCCAGCTACGTTAGAACAGTGTTTGGTGTCAGACTAACGTATCCAGCTGCGTTAGAACAGTGTATGGTGTCAGACTAACGTATCCAGCTGCGTTAGAACAGTGTATGGTGTCAGTCTACCGTATCCAGCTACGTTAGAACAGGGTATGGCGTCAGACTAACGTATCCAGCTACGTTATAAAAGTGTATGCTGTCAGGCTACCGTATCCATCTACGTTAGAACAGTGTATGGTGTCAGACTACCGTATCAAGCTACGTTAGAACAGTGTATGGCGTAAGTCTAACGTCTCCAGCTACGTTCCAACAGTGCATGGTGTCAGGCTACCGTAACCAACTACGTTAGAACAGTGTATGGGGTCAGACTAACGTATCCAGCTACGTTAGAACAGGGTATGGTGTCAGGCTACCGTATCAAGCGACGTGAGAACAGTGTATGGTGTCAGACTAACGTATCCAGCTGCGTTAGAACAGTGTATGGTGTCAGCCTACCGTATCCAGCTACGTTAGACCAGTGTATGGTGTCAGGCTACCGTAGCCAGCTACGTTAGAACAGTGTATGGTGTCAGCCTACCGTATCCAGCTACGTTAGACCAGTGTATGGTGTCAGGTTACCGTATCCAGCTACGTTAGAACAGGGTATGGCGTCAGACTAACGTATCCAGCTACGTTATAACAGTGTATGGTGTCAGGCTACCGTATCCAGCTACGTTAGAACAACTTCGGAACTTATCTAAATATCGAGCATCTATCTTTTCCTGCAATGTATGAACAAAACAAACCCTATCAAACACTAAAACAGACTCACACGTCCTGCTGAGTAAAGTCAATGCTCAAAACAAGCTTTTCACTTCCCTACTACGCCATTCACCTTATTGCTAATCACCAATAGTAGAAATACTAATATAGACAGTATAGTAAGGATAGTCATTATCAATCAAATGAAAGAAACACCACAGCGTCAAAACACAACGACGAAACATACCAGAGCGTCTGTACATTAAGAAATACCACAGCGTCAAAACACCACGACGACACATACCAGAGCGTCTATACATAAGAGCAAAATATACTACAGCATCAAATTCGATTGCCAAACATTCAAAATTATAGTCGTAAGGAAATGACTGCAACAGGAGCCAACATGCCACCCCCAACAAACAAAGAACATCCTGAACACCAACCGGACCACTACTGCACCACTTGTTTTACTTATTATAATGCTGAAGAACATAAAAACACAATATTTCTAAATATCAAAAAATGGACATAGTGTCCTGTCCTTTTCCTTACAACAGCCCTCGTATTTTTTTCAGTGTTGTTATATTACATTTACAGAATTGCAATATACTGCTGAACCTTTCAAAACAAAGCAGATGATGATGATGATGATGATGGCGTATGATGATGATATCTAAGTTTTATTTTGAATGTGTGTATGTGAGAGTTAGAGAATGTGTTGATTTTGTATATGTAAAATGAACTTGGGTATACAAAGCATATCAATAATAATTCATTTTGCACATACTGACGTGTGAGTGCCTGAAGTGTTATATCTACAGCTGTACGTACCCGTCAAGTTTGACCTGACACAGCCAGTTACCGACGTCCTCTGTCGTCATCTTGTGGGCGTGTGAGGAGGTAGACAGACTGCCGGGCGAGGAGGCTGCGGTACACGCTGAAGTGGCCATTATAGGACCATCTGTCACATCTGAAACAAAATCAATTTGCGTTCAAAGTGTTCAGGTTTCAAATATTTATATCACATGAACTTTTCAATATATTATGTTCTACTGAAGATATATGCAGCATCAAACTATCTTAATTGGGCCAACACCTTTAATCTCCTAACCCCTAAACTATGTTTGGTTTTACATAATCAAATGAGAGTATATTATAAGCAACAGGTGATTTCCAAAGGGANAAAAGGGGATTTCCAAAGGGAAAAAAAAAAAAAAAAAAAAAAAAAAAAAAAAATAAAAAAGTAGAACAAATATCACTCTAAGTACCAATATTTCGGCCTCCCGGCCTTCTTTAAGGCCGAAAGTCAACGATTGTTCGGAGGTAGAGGAAAATCAAATCAGAGTAGTTATCAAATGTATTTACAAGTACCATGATCTCGACGTTAAATATTTACTTGTTTATTTGGTACGAGCATTGTTCAGAATAAGAGGTGTTTTTGGTCAGAACCATTTTACCTCAGTTTCATCGACAAGGTCAGTTCAAAGGAATTGAAACGTTTGTATAGGAGGAAGCTGTCAAGGTATTAGTCAAAATCAATGTCTTATATTTTTACCCAAAATGATGTCTGCTTTCGTCACTGGAACACATATACACAATCAATAGCCTATTTCCTACCTTTTCCTGGAGTGGCAGATGGCGTGGAAAGTCTCCCTATCCCCCTAAGTTCCTTTTGCAGCCCATTCCACGGTTTTTCGAAGGGATATTTCCCACTAAAGTCGAAGTAAAGCTTCGCTCCGAGAATGGCTCCTAGCCAACCATCCGGCCTGTATTTCTTCTGCATCATAAGCGGAATATAGTCCTTTCTTAGCTGGAACGTGTACTCTGCCTCTGTAACCAATCGTATAGCCATGAAGTCCGTACTAGGCAGAAACATGTTATTTCCCCACCTCTACGTATGCAAGATACACGTGTCCCATACAGAGCACTCATGTGGGACACGTGTATCCCTAGTGGATGCACCCAGTGACCTTTACTATTACAATGTCCCATTCAGATGGCACCCTTGTGTTATGCCGCAACAATCAAAAGGTCAACAAAACGTCGTTTGACTAACAGAGCCAATGGTGCCTTCGGTAAGCGACACCACCTCAGGAATATAAGAGTTGAAGCACAAGCTGACCCTTAAGGTATGGACAGATAGTCAACAAAAGCTTCTACAACTAACAACGTTGTTATTCACACTTTACCACAGAAATACGTATATCTTACCAAGTCTACAGTTGGGACTCTGTTTGTACTTCTCAGACATACACAGTAGGACGACGGCAGCGTTCTCCGCTGCTTTACCACATAATTATGTATATCTTACCAAGTCTACAGTTGGGACTCTGTTTGTACTTCTCAGACATACACAGTAGGACGACGGCAGCGTTCTCCACTGCTCTACCACAGAATTACGTATATCTTACCAAGTCTACAGTTGGGACTCTGTTTGTTCTTCTCAGACATACACAGTAGGACGACGGCAGCGTTCTCCACTGCTCTACCACAGAATTACGTATATCTTATCAAGTCTGCAGTTGGGACTAGTTTGTACTTCTCAGACATACACAGTAGGACGACGGCAGCGTTCTCCGCTGCTTTACCACAGAATTACGTATATCTTACCAAGTCTACAGTTGGGACTCTGTTTGTACTTCTCAGACATACACAGGAGGACGACGGCAGCGTTCTCCACTGCTTTACCACAGAATTACGTATATCTTACCAAGTCTACAGTTGGGAATATGTTTGTACTTCTCAAACATACACAGTAGGACGACGGCAGCGTTCTCCGCTGCTTTACCACAGAATTACGTATATCTTACCCAGTCTACAGTTGGGACTCTGTTTGTACTTCTCAGACATACACAGTAGGACGACGGCAGCGTTCTCCACTGCTTTACCACAGAATTACGTATATCTTACCCAGTCTACAGTTGGGACTCTGTTTGTACTTCTCAGACATACAAAGTAGGACGACGGCAGCATTCTCCGCTGCTTTACCACATAATTATGTATATCTTACCAAGTCTACAGTTGGGACTCTGTTTGAACTTCTCAGACATACACAGTAGGACGACGGCAGCGTTCTCCACTGCTTTACCACAGAATTACGTATAGCTTACCAAGTCTACAGTTGGGACTCTGTTTGTACTTCTCAGACAGACACAGTAGGACGACGGCAGCGTACTCCACTGCTTGACCACAGAATTACGTATAGCTTACCAAGTCTACAGTTGGGACTCTGTTTGTACTTCTCAGACATACACAGAAGAACGACGGCAGCGTTCTCCACTGCTTTACCACAGAATTACGTATAGCTTACCAAGTCTACAGTTGGGACTCTGTTTGTACTTCTCAGACATACACAGTAGGACGACGGCAGCGTTCTCCACTGCTTCTGCCATGGCCGTCAGAGTGGATCCTCCCATCCTCTCAATGTCTATCCACACCTCCACACCTTCAGCCTTTGAACAAAATACGCAGCATCTACATAATCCACCTCATCCAAATCCCAAAGTTATCATACAATACACACACTGTCTACTCATAGAGTCATTTCAGTAAATCCTAACTTGTGACTGATCTAGAGAACAAATACAGTTTTACCTTCTGCCTGTCTGTAACATATTACTCTTAAATATCACTCAAATTTCCACTATTTACTTTCAGTCTTTCTCTGAACATGAGTATATTTACTAAACGTTTCCCTGAACTTTGGTATCATATATTCAGGATTTCTCTGATCTTGTATCTTACCTTCATGTTGCTGTGCATTTAAGTATCTTGTATTCATGATTCTCTGAACTTAAGTATTTTTTATACATGTTTCTCTGAACTTAAGCATCTTGTATAAATGTTTTTCTTATTTGGGAAATCTTACCTTTAATCGTTCTCTTATCTTCAGTACAATTTCCTTTTCATTCCAAGAATAGCTGATGAAGACGTGGCCTTTATTTTTCTTCCCTGATCTTGGCCCTACATCATAAAGATCATCACGTAGAAATGTATAAATTACGATAAAATTTGATCAATATATCCAATTAAGTCCTCAAGAATAAAAACGACAAATGTGAGCATCCCATTGAGATACTAGTATTGTTGAAATATAAGCGAGATACACAGGCCTGTATATGTAAGAAGGTCTAAAACAATTGAGAGTAAAGTAAGCTGAAGTGACAAACTTACTAGTCAGAAAATGTTGTTTTCATCTGTGCACACTTTGTTAAAGTCTTTGATAAAGGGTGGGGGTACTCTAGAACATATGAACATTACGCTATTCCGTCTTTGCGTATTGCAGAGTTATCTTTTCTTGTGAGCAGGTATTGATTGTTACGTCGTTGGTTTGTGTGAGAAAATTACGTCGTTTTCTCAAAAATTGATGACGTTACTCTCACAAACAAATGACGTAACAAGCAATACCTTCTCACAAGAGAAGATAACTCTGCAATACGAAAAGACGGAATTTCAATATCAGAATGTCACGTATTTCCTGTCAGAACTATGCTTTGAGTAATGCTTATTTTGGTTTCACGTAAGTAATAACAAGTATGCTATCCAAAATACAAACGAAGATGTAAGTTCAAACAAAAATAACAGGTTATTTGGTAGCATTAAGTGTGACTCACTTTACTAACTGTCAAATGCAATTCAATTTTCACATTCTCTTATTCTAGATAGACTTAAGAAAACATATAATCTACTTCTGAACGCATAACCATGACAATAAACATGACATCCAAAACGAACAAACAATCTCCTGATACCTCCACAAAAATGGTATTTTCTTTACAATTCGATCGATTTAATTTTATTTCTTGCAACCATTCCTCAAACAAACACGAAAGCATACATATGCATACATTAAACAAAGTACTGTCATAATTAAGTTTTCCTTAATGATCGCCCGACATGTTTACCGTGACAATTGTACATGTTTTGATATTACTCACGTCTAGATACGTCATTCTCTCCCTTTAGTACAAACAGTGCCCCGTTCACATTTTTCCTAACGTCGCTATCACTGCTTTCCCTGAGTTTTTCGAGTGACGTCATCATATCCGGGTGCTCCACAATTTTTTGACTCACTTCTTTGTCGAACGACAATGTCCAGATTGCGCGCGCAGTTACTGTTTGCTCCTCCGCTGAATCACTCTTCAACATCTTCATAAAGACCGGAAGTGCGCCAGCCTCGACGATCTGTCGACATGTAGAAGGTAACATTATAGGTATATTTATGATTAGACTATTTGAAGAAAACCTAGTGTTGTGCTCGCCTTGATGATAAAAATATCAATAATTCGAGGTTCTTATATACCGCTTTATCACAACCTAGTTCGTGGGTCGCCTCAAAGCGGTTCACAAATTATTATCCGTGGTTATAGGGCCTTTGCAACCAGCCAATATCTTTTTCAACTCCCTGGGGAGCATACAGTCGGTGCTGCCATTTCGGCGCTCACAGCTAGCATTCAACAATTCTAGCACTGCCCAACCACGTACTCATTTACAGCTGAGTATACTGGAACAATCGGAGTAAAGTGTCTTGTCGTGACTCGAACACACAACCCTTCGGTCACGAGCCCGGCGCCGTACCACTAGACTACCGCGCCTCCATAATGATCTGTAGACATATACACTGAACAATTTATTGTATACCGGGATATTTTCGTCTATTGAAACTTTCACCCTTTGCCGATAAAGTCAATTTTCGCCCAGTGCTAATCTCACCCTTCATATTTAATTACTATGTTTATTATTATGTATATTTATATTTACTGTATTAATGAATTCGCCCGCACATATAGAAATATAGAATAGATACTTCAATCTAAACCTACCTTCTTTTTGTTGTTGTCGTTGACGGCCAGTTTGCCGAGTCCATCCATGAGTTCCTGAGGAGTAAAACCTCGGTACCTCCGGCGCTCGTCTTCTATAGCCTTGTCTATATACTTAATGGTTCCCTCTATGGAGCCTACAGCAGATACACACATCAATGGTGAAGTGATAGAACGTCTTATCTAATTATTTGTAGTTGAAAATCACTTTACCATTTGACAATTTTTGAAACCTTCTTTCTTATTTGATATTATTTGTAACCCTTTTTCTTAGTTGACAATATTTGAAACCCTTTTTCTTATTTGCCAATATTTGAAACCTTTTTTCTTTTATGACACTTTTTTGAAATCCTCTTTCTTATCAGTCAATTTGCTATATTATTTAAACACATCGTACTCATAGAAACTCGTATTTTTAATTCCCAAAATATTGAAGCTTTTTATTTTCTAATGAAATGAATAAGGTTTTGGTTGGTATTATGAGAAAGAAAACCCAGCATTTGGCGTTTGGTTTGTACACTGTCATAATTCTACTCAAAGAGAACTTGACCTTGCTATGTTGCCTCGACTTCCCTAAAACCTTTATGTCATTAAATTCCAACAGAAGTGACGTACCTGTGTCGTCCATGAGTTTGTCGTTCTCTTCCTCTTCCACTATGTGTGACAACGTTAACATTGCCATTATCTTCAGCATCTCGTGCTCTTCGTATGACCTGACGAACTTTAGCATCACCTGACGGAGGGATAAATATAGGATATTTGTTAATATAGCAGGCGTTAGATCCGAGAAACTTACCAAGGCAGTCAGGCATAGAAATCAACATTATAAACAAAATTGTCCTAAATCTGAAGGAACGTCGGCATCACCTGACGGTAAAGCAAAGAAAGAATACAGTAAACCTAGCAGGCATTAGATCTGAGAAACCTAACTTCCGAATGCAGTAAAGCATAGGAAAGAACATGGTTAACAGACTAATCCTAAATTTTACGGAATGTCGGTATCATCTAGAGGTCTACAAAGTACCAACAAGGTAAACAAACTTTTCATCGGCCTTGCGGAACATAAACACAATCCAGCTATCATCTAGAGGTTTACAAAGTACCAACATGGGGAACAACCTTTTCATCAGCCTTGCGGAACATTAACATAATCCATCTATCATCTAGAGGTTTACAAAGTACCAACATGTTGAACAACCTTTTCATCGGCCTTGCGGAACATCAACACAATCCAGCTATCATCTAGAGGTTTAGAAAGTACCAACATGGTGAACAACCTTTTCATCAGAATTGCGGAACATCAACATAATCCAGGTATCATCTAGAGGTTTACAAAGTACCAACATGGGGAACAACCTTTTCATCAGCCTTGCGGAACAGCAACATAATCCAGCTATCATCTAGAGCTTGACAAAATACCAACATGGTGAACAACCTTTTCATCGGCCTTGCGGAACACCAACATAATCAAGCTATCATCTAGAGGTTTACAAAGTACTAACATGGTGAACAACCTTTTCATCAGAATTGCGGAACATCAACATAATCCAGGTATCATCTAGAGGTTTACAAAGTACCAACATGATGAACAACCTTTTCATCAGCCTTGCGGAACATTAACATAACCCAGCTATCATCTAGAGGTTTACAAAGCACCAACATGGTGAACAACCTTTTCATCGGCCTTGCGGAACACCAACATAATCAAGCTATCATCTAGAGGTTTACAAAGTACTAACATGGTGAACAACCTTTTCATCAGACTTGCGGAACATCAACATAATCCAGGTATCATCTAGAGGTTTACAAAGTACTAACATGGTGAACAACCTTTTCATCAGAATTGCGGAACATCAACATAATCCAGGTATCATCTAGAGGTTTACAAAGTACCAACATGATGAACAACCTTTTCATCAGCCTTGCGGAACATTAACATAATCCATCTATCATCTAGAGGTTTACAAAGTACCAACATGTTGAACAACCTTTTCATCGGCCTTGCGGAACACCAACATAATCAAGCTATCATCTAGAGGTTTACAAAGTACCAACATGATGAACAACCTTTTCATCAGCCTTGCGGAACATCAACATAATCCGGCTATCATCTAGAGGTTTATAAAGTACCAACATGGTGAACAACCTTTTCATCAGCCTTGCGGAACATCAACATAATCCAGGTATCATCTAGAGGTTTACAAGGTACCAACATGGTGAACAACCTTTTCATCGGCCTTGCGGAACATCAACATAATCCGGCTATCATCTAGAGGGTTACAAAGTACCAACATGATGAACAACCTTTTCATCAGCCCTGCGGAACATCAACATAATCCAGCTATCGAACAAAGTACTGATATCATTTATACGCCAACTGGAACTGGCATTATTCAGCGGTGAAACCAAGTACAGGTATGGTACGTGAGACGATATTTTATATACATACACCATAAGCAGGGAAGGATTGAATTTACTATCTAGAAACATAAATCAAACGATCGAGAAATTAACTTGTTCCGTTAAGTAAATTTATTTATCTTGATATATATATATATATATCGTGTCAGCATCTAAAAGCAAATGCTCAAATGAAAACATTCAAACAAGTAATCCTGTAGATAGATTTTCATTACTCACGTCTGTTGTTTTGTTCTCTTTGAAAAAATGTATGACATCCGGGTTCCGGGCAATGTTGTGTATGATACTCATGGAAGACTTGACAATGTAGTAGACATTCTGTAAAGGAGAAAGATCATCAATGTAATGCACTGTGTATTACACTCAATACAGACTTTTACAATGTAGTAGACATTCTGTAAAGGAGAAAGATCATCAATGTAATGCACTGTGTATTACACTCAATACAGACTTTTACAATGTAAAAGATATTCATTGAAAAAAATATTATATTGTGACGTGTATGATACTCCAGATGGAAGAAGGTAACACACCCATACATATTCTGTAAATAAGACAGACTAGACTATATATCGTATCAGAGTTATACACTCATCCGTGCATTCAATTTTGCTATGACATATACCAGGGGTGCAAAGAGCGTAAGTGAGTGTAACACCTGGAGTATCAAGTATGAAGAGAAATATACTCATCACGAAAAACCGACATTATTTTTGAGGTAGGAAATGCAAATATTTCCACTATCATAACTCTACAAGAATGTTGATGGTAGAAAAAATAAAATGATTCCACTAAATGACTTCTGAGATGAAAAACACAAATACTCCCACCATCTCAAACTTTCTTAGGGGTTTGAAATACAAACTAAACACTGATGTTGCAATTGTGTGAATCTTTCCGCCATCACACACCTGTATATTTCTGAATATTGAGGTAAGAAATATAAATGTCAACCATCACAAACTTACCTTATTGTCGAGGTTAGTGAGGAAAGGTTCATGACTACAGTTTACCGTGAAGAAACGAACTCCGTCTGATTCAGCTACCGTCTATAAAGATCATAGCATAGCATTCAAACAACTGCCAATTTGCATCGTGTTTTTAGAGATCTAATATGGCATGTTTCCGAAATATGGTTTAAATGTAAAGACATCAGAGATATGCTTAATAAAACAAGCTTTAATTTAGTTTGGCTGGTAGAATTATATTCATTTAAAAATTAGACGATAATCTAAGGGTACAGATTCCCCTGTTTACCGCGCCGCTTTGGCCAATTACATTGTTCCTGGACCCCGACACGTGAATATATGTATTGTGAAAAGATGTGTGAATTGTTACACGACGGGATGTTTTTCTAACTTTGTGGTTTTGTTAACACTTGGGTATTCCCCTGTAGATTTTCATCTAGATTTCGTCATCAGTTTAACCCTTTCACCACTGTAGACCATAATGGACTCATCCAGATCAATGCATGGTAAAGTCTACTAAAGTTACATAGGGGTGAAAGGGTTAAGCATTATAACATGTACAACATTTTATCAAAATATTGACAAACAGGATGTGGTTTTATCACTTATCATCTATTGGACTGATGAAGGGTCCTGTTATGTTACCCATATACCAAGTTTTATGCCAATTCCTTTTACCTCCCTCTGCCATCTAGTCCGATACATAAACATTTGTCATATTTAGTGGTGGCTTGTTATCTTAGCCAGTCGTAGTATCGCGTCTGTAAAGTTCCAAAGTGTGTTTATTACTTATCATATTTTTGAATTGATGAATGGTCCCCTTATGTTACCCATATACCAAGGTTCATGGCAATGCACTTTACCTCCGCATCCACACCGATAAATAAAACATCTATCATATATAGTGATCCTACCTTATCCATCCCTCCGTACCCACACCGATAACTAAAACATCTATCATATTTAGTGATCCTACCTTAGCCATTCCTCCGCATCCACACCGATAAATAAAACATCTATCAAATTTAGTGATCCTACCTTAGCCAGTCGTAGACTCGCGTCAGTAAAGTTCCAAAGCGTGTTAAGTGTGTAATAAGCGGGGAACCATATAGAGTCAGTCTTGAATATTCCTTTGGCATTTAGCGATTTTAGCATCTTCATAGCAACCTCTGTAAGTTAAAAAGTAAATCAAGAGTCGGTCAAATAGAAAATAGGCCAGTGTCAGCTTCTAGGTCAACATATCACACAACTCCCAACATGACAAACAACCATGTATCTGTTTGATTAAAAAATATAAAAATAGTAAAGGGCAGGTAGCTCCAACAGTATCATGATTGCCATAAATTAAAATATCAAAGCGCAAATCTAAGAAGGCCACGAAACATGAAAACATGGTCCCATGTCGATCGATTAATGATTAAATACCATTTTAACCAATAAAAAGGCCATAATAGCTCTGTAGAAAAGATGCTTTGAGCTTTTTTACAATATTGAGTTTAAACCACAGATTGATGTATGTTGTTGTTATGGAGTTATGTAGTTTCAAAGCTGACGGGATAAAAATATTTTATATATCAATAATTGTAACTGGAAATACCTAATTATATTCCTTTTTATGTTTATCTTCTACTTTCAGTGTATTAAAATAAAAACAGTATTTCGGCTTACCGCCAAATCCTGCCTCCGCCATGCTATCCCCGATTTTTTTCCTATGCGGTCGATATCCCCAGTACGTATCGCCCAGGGACTTAACAAGCTTCATCCCCAGACCATTCTCGTACGTGTCGAGACCTGCCAAAACCTTCACTATCTCTTTCGTCCGGACCAGGACCTCTGATTCTTTCAAATTCTTCACGTTGGCAAGCTCGTCGATGTTGAGGTCACCGTTCATCATGTGGGCGGAGTCGGCGTTGGCAGTGGCTGGTGAGTGAGCAGCGCTTCGTTGATTGGCTGATGTCTCAAACGGAGACTTGGACGGCGAATTCGATTGGCCGGTATCGACATCCATCATTTGGATGGAACCGTTTAGCGAGTCTTGGAGGCTCAAGGGACCATCTGTCAAGGACAAGAAGGAAACAAGTCACGTTTTGTAATCACTGATTATAGATGTCAATACCCTAGACATGCATCGTATGGAGACAGTAGTGTTATTCAAAAACAAACAGTGACGTCACAATATAATCAAGCTTATAAACAGATAAATCAGAAGTATAAACCACAACATAGTTCTGTATAGTCGGTACATCATGTGATGACGAAGACCGGAAGTGGCTCGCCCGGTCCAGCTCCTATATATCGATGCGGAAGAGTGTGTGCCTCTCTGTCCGGTGGGGCCATCGAGAGATATCAAAGAGCGAGTGCAATCCGTTCGGCACGCCGGACAGGTCCTAGTTAAGTGATCATCTTCTCACGTCCCCAATGTAAGGTATAATGTCATCAACTGTAGGAATGGTATACGATGGTATACTATTTATACAACACAGAACGGGACAAGTGGGGGTTTGTATTCTCTTTATATATAATACATGATACATAAGTAATCCATTTCATATGAGCCAATTTACAACTTGGAACAGTGTTCGTAGTCATTGTTCCTTTATGCCAAATTCTGGAGCCGTTATTCTCGTATCATTAGTTTGACAGACGTCTTGTTGCTAAAATAAATAAATAGACTACATAGCTTTATGATGAATTTCATGATTGTTGATTTTCAATTTCAATCAATTTTATAGTCAAAAGACAAATGGATTGGGCAGCAGACATAGCCTATTTGAGGCATCTCCAAACACAGTAACAAACAATGGTACAAGCATAGACATAGACATTAGAACACATACAAACACATATAAACAAGTTGGTATTATACAATTAATAACCAAATTATTGGAAACAACTACTAAATCCCATTTTTATTATAATTGAATCTAATGGTTAAAATTCTAACCTTTTATTTGATTGTACACCAAATTCAGTACCTGTCAGATTTCAACACTGAATTTTATTGACATCATATTTTTACATTTGCTCGCGTAGCTGTTATTCTTGTACAATTCAGTACCTGTCGGTCAGATCTTTATTACAAATGAAGTAGACGTCACGTTTTATTCTGATTAGAGGAGACGCAATATTTAACACTGAATATAGGAACGCTATTAAATGTGTTCGCCATTAACTTTTAGAAAGAAGCTTAGAAATGATTTTAACGAGTATATGAGACTTCAATTTGAAGAAATTGATCAATCAGGTGAAGTTGACCAAGTATTGTTCTGGCAACCATACAAAAGTAAATCACATAAACTCAAGTTGAAACAAACAGAACTGAAGTATGACGGTCGGGTCCTACGTGACCCAGAAGGAATAGTAAAGAAATGATGTACTCATTTTTGTAAATTGTTCGAGAACGAACCTAACGAACTGTTCGATGTAGACTTTTTTAATCATGATCAAGATGATTTACCGAACATGACAGAAAAAGCGAAAACTGATAAAGATGTTTTTCTAGAAAAATAATTTACTTTTAAAGAGGTTTCTGAAATGTGTAAAGGTCTTAAGACAAAAAAGTCTGGTGGTCCGGACGGTCTTGTGTATGAGCATATTAAATACTGTAACAGTCTTATGATCAAACATATTACATTTTTGTTCAATCTCATTATTAAGTATGAGTATATTCCCAAATCATGGAAACTTGGTACAATAATAACTCTGTATAAAGGTAATCGGAAACCAAAAGATGACCCAAACAACTATAGGGGTATAACATTAATTCCTGAGTTTTTTAAGATTTTTGAGACACTCTTGTCTACCCGTTTAAGTCCAGTCCTACAATCATACACATTTCCGAACAGGCATCAAATCAGCATATCGCAAAAAACTGTGTAGTTTATGTACTTCTTTTAATCTACAGGAAAGTGTGAACTATAACCTAGATAATGAATCTGATGTGCTTGTCGCTTTTCTTGATAGCAATAAAGCATTCGATATTGTATGGCAAGATGGCCTATTCTATAAGCTTTACAATATGGGTATTAAAGGGAAAGTATGGAATATCATGAAACTAATATTCTCGATTTACCAGTAATGTTGTTTTTAATGGTCTCAAGTCGGGCAATGTAATCATGAAACGGGGAATCTTACAAGGTGGGTCTTTATCTGCAAAACTGTATTTAGTCTTTATTAATGATTTGCTAAATGAAGTGGAATTTAGCGGGAAAGGGGCAATATTTCTTTCCTCGCGAATAAATATACCTACACAAGCTGATCACATATGTATTATCAGCAATAACGTTAATAGTTTACAGTATCTACTATCTATTTGCGAGAAATACAGTAGAAAGTGGAGATTTACATTTTCCTCTATTAAATCTAAAATTGTTGTTTTTTGCTTCTAAAAAGAAACCCAATATCATTTGTGATATAACTGTATATAAAAGAAACTACCAATTGTAGAAAGTTTTACTCATGTCGGAGTTTTATTTAACAGGAGAAATAACAATGTCGAACGTACAGAACGTGCTTGTTCCAAATTAAAGAGTGGTGGTATGTCCTTAATTCGTTCTGGAGCACATCCATGTGCTCTGAATCCTTTAACCGCTGCAAAAATTGTTAAGTGAAAAGTATATCCCTCAGCACTGTATGGATGTGAATTGTGGCAATTAAAACAAAATGAAATTTATATGTTAGAAAAAGCACAAAACTTCATTGCCAAATCTATCTAAGATTTTAATGTAAGAACAAGAACAGATATGTGCACGTCCTTGATTGGTTTGTTTTCTGTAGAAGTATACATCAGCGTAAAGAAAATGTTATTTTTTGGTAGAATATGTTCCATGGAAGTTGGCTGTTTAACACGCGAAATTCTTATCAAGCGTCTATTCGAATTCAACCTGTCTCAATTTAGTAGACGTTTTGTTCCCGACATTGTTAATATTTAACAAAAATACAATTTGTATCATGTCATTGATGAATGTTTGAAGAGTGGTGTATTTTACAAACAAATGCCAATGGAAGCGTTTAGTCAATGACCATGTAAAAAACTATGAACAGTTTAATTTATGTGAAAGAATGAACGCTGAAAGGGACTTCTCTCGCTTCACTCTTTTACATAATAAGATACAACCGTATGCTATATGGAAACTTGCTTTACGCTTTCCACAATACAGTCCATGTTTTAAGAAAGTTGTTAAACTTTGTGTTGAAATGCGCGATAATGAAAATATATATTTGTGTCATTACTGTGGATCTATGCACAAAGATAATATTATGCATAGTGTACTGGAATGCTCACACACAGAGCTATTACGTGACCAGTTCTGGTGTGTACTCAGTACTGTAAAAGATATAGATTTTGTGTTTAATCTTCATGTAATGTCTAATTACCATCTACTTCATGTTCTTCTAGGTGGTATTTTCAACTGTGACTTATCTCCATATGAACTGGAGGACTTTAGAATAAAATCCATTGTTATTATTACTAAAATTCTTCAATACAGTGGTATTATGTAATTTATCCTTAGATATTTGAATGTTGTATACTGAGTAATATGATCACAAATTTACTTGTGTGTACCTCACGCTTTAGCAAGATTAATACATGAAATACATATATTTTTGTATTCATATTAGTAGGCAAGCATTTCCTACGTCTTTCCTGTTATACCATTGCATAATTGGGCTGCATGATTAGTGCAACTTACTACCATTCATAATATTGTTTGTATTGTATAAATTAATCTTGTGATATGTATTACTACAACTGAAATCATTGCATGGTTGCTCTGTTTCTTCAAGTTAATTATTATATTGTATGTTGTGTATTTCACACCACTGTATGACTATATTGTATGACTTTGTGCAACGGGTTCTACTCAATGTATGATTCTATTGTAAGACTTATGTTACAGTAATACTGTCTATACTAATGCTGTATAATTTATAGAGTGATGCTTGTAATACTGTTTATTGCAATGTTGTATGATTGCTTAGTACGAGAAGTGTATTACTGTCTATACTATTATATGATAATGTAGTTTGAAGAGTGTAAATATGTCTATTATATCAATGTGTGATGTAATGTATGATTAGTGTTATACTGTCCATCATCATAATTAACACCGCATAATAACTGTAATAGTACCTATTATATCATTGTGTTGTGTTTATAGTACTTTATGGTATGATGCGGGTACTATTATTAATCTCTTATGTGTGTGTCTGTCCATGTGCATGTGTGTGTCACTATGTAAGGGTGTGGCCATGATTGTGAATGCATTTTCTTCTCTTTCAATAGTGTTGAATTGTACGTGTATTGTTCGTTATTTCTGTAACTCTTCATTTCTGGAGGAATTAAAGGAAATAATAATAGTCGGAATAAATGGGGAAGATCTCAAAACCAGAGTTAGGTTTTTTTAATCTCAACTGAAAGCTTGTTAACTTGCACTATCAGCTTAATTAAAAATATCGCTGAAAAGTAGTACGAAAACCGTCTAATATTAAATGATATAAATCTATACGGACCCCATTTATCTTTGACGTAGTGAATAGGGTCCGATATAGATCTGTAGAACAAGAAGCGTCTACGAGGTAGTATGAAATATGGGTTCACATAAACCTTTACAACAAGGCAGTATGGACCCATATACAAGATACCCAGTTTTACACCATGCATCATCGACGTTGAGAAACGTTTTTTACGATAGAGGAGTAAATACCTGACATTCACATGGAAATGTTGATGTCACGGCCCTAGCTTAAATCGTGTAAGGTGATGACAGACAGAATTAGAAGCATGCGTCTCAGATAAAAAATGAATTGCTTAGGCCTAAAAAAGTATATTTCAGCACGGAATTAGATGATCTGTGGTTTACGGTACCCCGACCGACTCTAGCTGCTACCTCCGACCCAAGTAAGTCATCCACCGGATGCAAACAAATTGATGGACGAATAAGCAAAACCGCTATATATGTATACCCTCTTAACTTAATAGGCAGGTAACAAAACGAAAAAAACGCATATTATTATTTAAAAGACCAAGATATATGTTTTATTTTTTTTAATAA